CCACAGACACGCTACATATGCCATACGGACACGCTACATATGTCCCACAGACACGCTACATATGCCATACGGACACGCTACATATGTCCCACAGACACGCTACATATGTCATACGAACACGCTACATATGTCCCACAGACACTCTACATATGTCACACAGACACACTACAAATGTCCCACAGACACGCTACATATGCCATACGGACACGCTACATATGTCCCACAGACACACCACATATGTCACACAGACACGCTACATATGCCATACGGACACGCTACATATGTCCCACAGACACTCTACATATGTCACACAGACACACTACATATGTCCCACAGACACTCTACATATGTCACACAGACACACTACATATGTCACACAGACACGCTACATATGTCATACAGAGAGGCTACATATGTCATAGTCATACAGACACACTACATATGTGATACAGACACGTGTCAGAAGTCATACAGATACGCGTCATATGTCACACAGACACGCTACATATGTCATACAGACACGCTTTATATGCCATACATACACGTGTCATAATTCATACAGACACGTGTCATATGTCCCACAGACACGCTACATATGTCATACAAACAGGTTATATATGTCATACAGACACGTGTAATAAGTCGTACAGACACGTGTCATATGTCACACAGACACGCTACATATGTCATACAGACACGCTACATATGTCACACAGACACGCTACATATGTCATACAGACACGCTACATATGTCACACAGACACGCTTCGTATGTCACACAGACTCGCTACATATGCCACACAGACACACCACATATGTCACATAGACACGCTACATATGTCACACACAAACACACACGCTACATATGTCACACAGACACACCACATATGTCATACAGACACGCTACTTATGTCATACAGACTCGCTACATATGTCACACAGACATACCACATATGTCATACAGACACGCTACTTATGTCATACAGACTCGCTACATATGTCACACACGTTTTAAATGTCACACAGACACGCTTCGTATGTCACACAGACTCGCTACATATGTCACACACGTTTTAAATGTCACACAGACACGTTTTATATGTCACACAGGCACGCTACATATGTCACACAGACACGCTACATATGTCATACAAACACGCTACATATGTCACATAGACACGCTTCGTATGTCACACAGACTCGCTACATATGTCACATAGACACGCTTCATATGTCACACAGACTCGCTACATATGTCACACAGACACGCTTTAAATGTCACACAGACACGTTTTATATGTCACACAAACATACGCTATAGGTGATGACGTTACATACCGGTGGTGAACGGCGTAAGACCAATGTCGTGGTCAATGAACTGACCCCACTGCATGACCATGAGCGAGATCTTAGAGTGGAGGTCGCTCGTGCTGGGATGCAGGCTGGTCGAAATGAGACGAGGCGAGGGAAGCAGACTATCGTCAATGCTCGTAAATCTCATGATGTCCAAACCTGGCGTTGAGAGAAACATATAGCGGTATAGCAGTATAGCTGCTCCATCATCATACACCACGATTGCCACTGACTACCACCGTCAACACCACGACGACGACGACTACCACCACCACCATCATCATCATCATCATCATCATCATCATCATCATCATCATCATCATCAACAACAACACCACCACCCCACCACCGCCACCACCGCCAACAACAACAACAACAACAACAACAACAACAACACCACCACCACCACCACCACCACCACCACCATCACCATCACCATCACTGCCACCGCCACCACTACCACTACTACTACCATACTATTATTTATACTAATACCAATAGTCACTGCCACTATCAATACCACGGATTGTCCTACGACAATAGCTGTTTTCCGTCTTCCTTTTTCCCCTCTATCCCTCTATACCTGTCCCCCCTTTCTCTCTCCCGCTTTCCCCTCTCTCGATCTCTCCTCTCTATCATTTTGTCTCCCCTCTCCCTCTCTCACCATCGCCCCACCTATCAATAACAATCTGAATGCTTTCCCGCACACTACATCGTCACATAACTCCGCTCCCACAATCTTCCATTTCGTATCCTCTCTGTCACGCTAGATGGCACCACACGTACCGTTCTCGTATGCGTTGGCGACCATGCGCCGCAGCGCGACGTGTGAGGTTCCCCAGCGAGGGTTGAGGATGTTATTACAGTAACCAGTCGGCTCGCGGTAGCGACCGGGAATGCAGGGCGGAACCAGCGCCGTCTGGAGGCAGATGTCGCTTAGCAACGTGTCGGTGATGTTAACAAGCTCCAGACTCTGCGCCTGGTTGGCATCGAGACCGAGTCTGCAAGCAAACATAGTGAGAGAGAGATTGTGTCATTGAGAGATGGTTATAAGGGGCTATGTGAGTGCATGCAAGAGTCACAAGCAAACAGAAGAGACAGAAAGGGGTATGGAGAGAAAGAGAAAGCTCGCGACTTACAGAGTGAGGCACATAGAGGAGAAAAGATGGTGTCATCAGCTAGTTATAAGCAAGAAATACGTCCATATAATATATATATATATATATGCGTGCGTGCGTATGCGTGTGCGTGTGCGTGTGCGTGTGCGTGTGCGTGTGTATGTATGTATGTGTGCGTGACAGCGATTTGGAGTGACGTAAATTAATTCGTCTATAAACTCACACAGACGTTGCCTTAGGTTAGGGCGGGTTTAACACTATCCACTGCAGCGCCACGATAACTACGGCGGCTGTGTACGTTGAGTATTCTCACCTCTCGGCCAGCAGCTTCGTCGCTTCCAGAGAGACGAGCGCAGACACGGACAAGTCCTTCGCCTCCTGGGAAGTGCGACTCGCTCTGTTCTGCTGAGCAACGGTTCCTGATGCCTTAGCAATGAGACCTGCCACAACCAGAGGACGTTACTATAGCCGTGCAGTGACCTAGGGGGCGTTACTATAGCAGTTCGCTAACTCAGGTGGCGTTACTATAGCGGTACTCTATCCCAGGAACACTACTGTGGCGGTAACCCGGAGGCGTTCTGAAAACAATGCTTATTGACCAAGTACCGAATTGATGGCATTTTGCCGTGCAAGCACGCGTAAAGCCACGTACAAACTGGTCTGGCTTGACTGATCTATCAGTAATATCAAACCGGGAAGCATGATTACCACGCTCAGATGGAGAGGTCGGTTTACGCGAGGTATAAGGCAGCCACATGATAGCTATAAAAAATCCGTTTAACGCCTATCAACATAACAGTGTCCTAAAAAACAAACTTCAGCATCCTCTTTGTTATATAACTCCCTGCTAAAAACAATAGGTTTGGGCCGATCAATATGCCGGCAAAATGAAAACAAAGTTCCACAGTTACGCTATACAGTTATTATATGTGAATAAGTGCGTTGGCGGCGGGAACAAGCAGATAGCTACCTTTCTCTAGTATCTCTCGCTCTAGACTGTGCAACAAATCCACTGCATTCGTTGCCTGGGAAATAGCCTGCGTCAGCATCTCCGTAGTAACCGACGCCGCCGTGTCCATATCACCAGAGGGCGCGCCTGCTACTCCGCGCCCCCTCTCTCGGCTCGGCGTCTCTCCGGTTGGACTCGCTGTCCTTCTCTCCTCCGTCTGTTCCCTCTCTGTAGTCACCACCGTGGGTCTGTCCGTCCTTCTCTCTGTCGTCACTATCGTCGGTCTTTCCGTCCTTCTCTCTGTGGTGACAATAGTAGGCCGTGAAGTCCTTCTCTCTGTCGCCACCGAGTTAATATCCGTCCGTCTCTGTCTGCTGGATACTTCTCTCTGATTGGTTACACCAGGTGTCGCGCTGGTCGTGACTTCCGTTCCGAAACCATTGCGGTTGCCTCGCCCTGGGAAGAAGCGATAACAACGCGGCCTGTGAACACGTGATCTTACGTATTTCATCGTTAAATGTCCTCCATAGACGGCGCTGCAATTCGCATACAAGGGTTTTGCATACTTTCACGTATACCTGACGGTGATAGCCATGGGTATGTGCGCGCGCGTGCGTGCGTGCGAACTTGCGCGCGTGTGGTAATTAATATAAGAGCATACCTGACGATGTTAGCGGTTTTTTGTGTATGCGTGCGTGCGTTCGTTCGAGTGTATATGTGGTATCATTAGAGCATATACCTGACAGTGTTAGCGGTGATGTGTGTTCGCGTGCGCGCGCGCGCGTGTGTGTGTGTGTTAGCGGTGATGTGTGTTCGCGTGCGCGCGCGTGTGTGTGTGTGTTGTGTGTGAGTGTGTGTGTGTATGTGTGTGTGTGTGTGTGTGTGTGTGTGT